TTCTTTCACTTTGTCCTCTCTCTGTTCCTTTTAGTTCAAACTGGCAGTGTTGCTGCTCGAAGACTCTCAAGAGCCTGTGGGACCACCATATGCGCCCTCCATTAGACAAGAGGCCCCCTCAGAGATCTTGTCTGGATATTCCCGCCTCTATTTTTGGCTTCTCCTTAGAAGCTGAGGGAATCAGAGTCCCACCCTTGATCTCTTCAGAGTGTTTTGTGTAAGTGAGTACTTTGACCTTTCAATCTTTCTGAGGTTTTAGCAAAAGACTACAGAGTAACCCCTTTGACTTTTTCTCTACAGCATGTTTTCCTACTGGATCTTATTTTAGCATCCTTTGCCATTTTGGTAGGCTAAGAATTTCGAAAATTAAGAATTTCTGGTTCCTTGTTTAAAAAAGGTATAATTGGCATATAACATTGTATTAGTTTCAGGTGTATAAAACCTCGATCTAACAGACTCAGGCAAGGAGGTGTCCGTTAAAGCCGAAAGTCCGTTATATAAAAAAGTAGGTTTTCCAAATGTATGTTAAAAAATTGACAAATTAGTTCATTTACCTGTTTTCACTTATATAGACATGACATGATTGTGTAATTAAAATTTAAGTATGTATGAAAAGTTTAATTTCACAGAAAGGTTTGCTATATTACAGTCATTTTAACTTTATACTGAATAGGTCCAGCAAATACATGCATTCACATCGAAAGTCAACAGATGCACACGGCTGGGGCGTGGCTTAGCGCATGTGGAACATCGGCTCACACGTGTTAAAACTGCTGCAGAAAGTCACCCCAGGGAACAACAGGACCAATCACCGCCCCCGATGCAGTGATCACGTGCTAATCATTCGCCAAACATTGTGAGCAGTGACTCTTGGATTTATTTCAATGTGTAGATTAGAGGGGGAGATATGTAATATTTATTTTTGTCAGCAAAATTACTACAGTGTTTTTTTCCAGCATATGGCCTATTTGCTAAAATTTGTTAAAAATAACAGTGAATTTTAAAAAATGTAACTGAATTAATAACAAACTAACCTGTTAACTTAATTATAAGCAAATCTTGGTTAATAGCATTTTATAATTAACAGGGTGGCCCTGGCTGGTGTTGCTCCACGGTTACAGTGTCAGCCCACACACAAAGGGTCTCGGGTTCGATTCCAGGTCAAGGGCATGTACCTGGGTTGTAGGTTTGATCCAGGCCTACTCCCTCCCTGTTTCCTTCCTCCCTCCTTCTCCCCTCCCTTCCCCTCTCTAAAAATCAATGAAAAAAATATCCTTGGGTGAGGATTAACAATAGCAACAAAAAATTAAAAGGGTGTTACTTTTCACTTATGACACACGGACCAGAAATTTTGACCATTAAATTCAAAGTCCGTTAAATCAAGGTCCACAAAATTGAGGGTTTACTGTACAATTGTTTTTTTTGTAAAGAACTCCTGGTTCTTGTTTAACAGGTCTCTCTTAAATTTCTCTACTCTCAAATTTACTGTCACAAAAGAAACCAGGCCACACCTCAACGCTGTTTGGAAATCTCAGTTAAATTCATTGATTAGGAGTCCTGCTTGCCACAGGACTGCAGGACACAGTTCCACCAACTTTCTGTCACTACATAACAAGGATCCCCTTTCCTCCAGTTTCTATCATCTTCCCCATTTTCTTCTGAGCTTTCAATAGCAGCACCTTGAAGGCCCATATTTTATTTTATTTATTATTATTTTTTAATCCTCACCTAAGGATATTTTTCCATTGCTTTTAGATAGAGTGGAAGGGAGGGAAAGGAGAGGGGTAAGAGAGAGAGAAAAAACATTGCTGTGAAAGAGACATATCGATTGGTTGCCTCCCACGTGCACCCGACTGGGGCAAGGAATGAACCAGCAACCCAGGTACATCCCCTTGACAGAACCAAACCCAAAGCCCTTGGGTATGCGGGCCAGTGCTCTAACCACTGAGACACCAGCCAGAGCAAGGCCCATATTTATACGGACAGTCACTTCTCTATGTCACTTCTCTGTAGCAGTCATTGACATCCACATTTCTAGTAACAGTCTGTTCACGTCAATAGCGGCTTTTTCTATCATGCTCTTCAAAATATTTCCAGCAGCTGCTCAATTCCAAAGCCACTTCCACATTTTTAGATATTTGTTATCTAATAAGCAGCACCCCGGTACCAAAATCTCTATTAGTTTTCTTTTCTCATTTTTCTAGCTTTGAGATATAACTGACATATAACATTATGTAAATTTAAGGTACACAACATACTAACTTGATACACTTCTATACTGCAAGACCCTACTGGTTTACTATTGCTGCTGTAACAAATTACCACAAACTTAAAGGCTTAAGACATTCATTTCTTTATCTTTCAGCTCTGTAAGTTAGAAGTCCAAAACAGGTCGCACTGGGCTAAAATCAAGGTGTCAGCAGGGCTGCATTCCTCTCTGGAGGCTGTAGGGGTGAGTCCATTCCTTACCTTTTCCATCTGAAACAAAAGTCCTTGGCTCACGGCCCCCTTCCTCCATCTCCAAATCCAGCAAGATTGTATCTCTCTGGCCTGGCTTCCGTCAACACATCTCCCTATGACCCTTCCTCCTGCCTCCCTCTTCCCCTTTTAAGGGCCCTTAGCCTTATATTGGGCCCATCTGGATAATCCAGGATACTCTCCCTACCTGCTGATCAGCAACTTTCACTCCCTTCTGCCACGTGATGTAACACAGTCACAGGTTTTGGGAATCAGGATGGGGCCATCTTTGAGTGGGGGAGGGGCATTATTATTCTACCTACCACATTTACTAATCACTTAAAATGAACAAAAAAACCATAATTTAAGGCAGTCTAATAAGATTCAGAGGGAATATTAGCAATTAAACAAACAAAAAACTCTCAATCAATAGTTGACTAATCTATTTTCAATTTTTCCAATATTTAGTGAAGCTAGCTGATCTAGTGAAGATTTTCTATGTCTTTCTTGTGGCAGACACTGTTCATTGGCTAATCCAGGGGTGGGCAAACTTTTTGACTCGAGGGCCACAATGGGTTCTTAAACTGGACCGGAGGGCCGGAACAAAAGCATGGATGGAGTGTTTGTGTGAACTAATATAAATTCAAAGTAAACATCATTACATAAAAGGGTACGGTCTTTTTTTTTTTTTTTTTTTTTTAGTTTTATTCATTTCAAACGGGCCGCGGGCCATAGTTTGCCCATGGCTGGGCTAATCCAATACCTATTTCCAACCCCTTCTTCCTTGCCTGCCCCTAATACTTGGGCTATAAAAACTAAATACTCACTTTCCTGAACGCCTAAGCATGGTCATATAATACAGCTGTGCCAAATGAAATCTAAAAATTGCCTTGGGAAAAGCTATTGCATAAAACTGATAAAAGAGGCAGCTAGATGGTGCTGCCCTCCCTGGCCCCCTTCCCAGTACCCCACCCACCTTGAATGGTGCACTTCCAGTAATTCAGGTATCTATTTTGCAATAATGTGAGAATATCCATGAGAATTCAAGAGACGCCAGCCCTGCCACTGTCGAACTACTGAACCAACACCAGCTACTCTAGCCTATTCTGTTTCAGTGACTATTTACACTGCCTTTCAGCTTCTAGCTGAAAGCTCTGGAAATTGAAACTACATTCAACACAACTGCTGGTTAAATATAAGCACCCTCCTCCAAAATTTATTTTGTTTTACCAAAGCCATATTCACTTAAGTGAGTTATAATTAAGAAGGCAGTTATTTTTTAAATAGCACCTGTTACATATTTTAGAACTCTAAATTATACATACTCATTCTAGGACATTTGGAAATGATCAAAAGTTTAAAGAAAATAAATAGCCACAACCCCAAATATCCAGAAATAACTTCCTGATAATATATAGGTGTATTTCCATCCACATGTTTTATGTCCATATATAAAATATTGTTTTTAAGTGAGACTATATGGAATACGTAGACTTGAATCCAACTCTCATCCAGCCCTTTATTGAGGACTTTTCCACATCACTAAAGATACTTCAGCCCAGCTGGCATGGCTCAGTGGTTGAGCATCAACCAATGGACCAGGAGGCCATGGTTCGATTCCCGGTAAAGGCACATGCCTGAGTTGTGGGCTCGATGCCCAGTGTGGGGCGTGCAGGAGGAGGCCGATCAATGATGCTTTCTCATCATTGATGTTTCAATCTATCTCTCTCCCTTCCTCTCTGAAATAAAAAAAAAGGATGTTTCAAAAATATTTTCAAAAAATTAAAAATCAGATTATGAAATATGATTAAGTAATTATTAACAATGGTAGACATTTAAGTTGTTTTATCCTTTTTGCCAATGTAAACAGTGTTGCAGTGAACATCACTGTATACAAGTCTTTCAGTGCTCTTTTTGATTATTTTCTGAACGTTGTTGCAGAGATGTGGCATTACTGGGTCAAAGGGATAAACCCTTTCAAGCATTCAACTAAAGTTGCCAAGCTGCTTTTTAGAGAAACTGAATCAATTTATTTTTCTACCTTCTTTCTATATACAAAATAGTCTCCCTTACAAGTAATGACTGTCTTTTTTCTTTTGCCAATTTGAGGAGTAAAAATATCATAACTCATTCTTGAGTTAATTTACATTTTCTGGTTACATTTTCTGAAAACAACTAAAGATATTTTGAACCTTTATATTGGTTATTTTATGAATTATCACTTGGAATTTTTTCAAGTAGAGGAGTTCTTTCTATTGTAAATATTCTGATGTAAATATTTTATTTCAGTGAAACACAACTCTTTAGTTTTGTTTACATATATTTTAAAACATTTAAAATTTAATCATATCTATCATGTTATCAGATAGGAATAGTTTTTACATGACAACACATTTCAGAAAAGAATGCTTTGAGATATTATATTCTTTTAAATTCCTATTGACTTTCTTACAGTCAAACAAGTAAAATTAATATCAAGAGAACAACAAGCATTCCCACTAAATAAATAAGTATTCCACCCTAGGTTTTGACCATTCACTTACCTGCTTGTGACAATGATGACATCCTCAGAGATGTTAGCCATTTCTTTGATGGTAAGGTAGCACATTCTTCGCAATATTTGCTGAAATTATTTATAAAAGGCAACAGGTTATTCCTAAGAAAATAGCTTTCTAAAATGTTTGAAATGAGAACACCAAGTAGATATATTTAGAAAGTTTTTCTTAAAAAGATTCTCATACACCCAAAAAAGCCCTTTCAAAAACATCTGGATAAGAAAATACTCAGAATACAACTATATCCTAAGCACCAGTCGTTGCTGCACTGACACTGGAAAACACCTAGATGAAAACTCAAAATTTCAGTTAATTATCTGGATTTTTATGTAAAGAGACCCAAAGTTGGACTTGGGCAGTGTGAGTCCAAAGACTTAAGATTTTTTTTTATTGTTGACTCTATTGCATGTGTCCTCATCCTCCCTCCCTTTGCCTTCCTCCATCCTGCCCCGCACCCCTGGGTCTTCACCACACTGTCTGTGTCCATGGGTTATACATATGCGCAGATATATTCTTTGGTTGATCAATTCCCGTCCTCCTCATCCTCTTCCCCTCTGAGATCTGTCAGTCTGTTCCATGTATCCATGCCTCTGGTCCTATTTTGTTCATCAGTTCATTCTGTTCTTTAGATTCCTCATATAAGTGAGATTATGTGGTACTTGTCTTTCTCTGGGTGGCTTATTTCACCTATTAAAGACTTGTCCCGGAAAGTGTATTTTTTAAAGTCTTTAAAAATAAAAATATAAAGGGATGGACAGACTCTGCATTTTCCTTAGTTCATCATATACAGATGTTTTCCTTAAAGTATCCGTGGTTGTATAACTAACTCTCCTTTTCAACTATTAACATTTCTGGATACCCGGATCTAAAATACATGTTAAGCTAACAATAATAAAGTTTTGTCTACCTTTCTCCTCACCTGGACCTCTGATTTATCCATACACTATGAGCACTGGTTCCTCTGGCCCGTAGCCTCATTCTCTACCAAGTAACTTCAAATGTCTATAAGTAGTGAAACTCAAATACATCAGACCCAGACTCAGAGTTTAAGCTATAGGAAGAATCTAGTGGAGACTACTGAGCCCAATAAGAAAAAGGAACAAGAGTGTGAGGGTTCTCACGGTGATTAAACACACACACACACAAAAAACCTCCTAAAAAGAGAAAACCAGTACAAGGCAGATATCCCATGTGAAACTACTAGGAGAAGAAAACAGAAAATAAGAATAAAAACTTCAGAGCTGAATATAAAAAATAAAAATCTACCTGAAGGAGAATAAAACTGAAGATACAAAAAAATTAAAACCACATTTCAAATACCCAACAAAATGACTAAAAATTTTTAAGTGACAATACAAAGTATTGACAAAGTTGGGCTCATACCTACTAAAACATATTGCCTAAACAAATATACAGAGATGCTAAATAAAATAGGAACAAAAATTTTAAATATGTAGTCAAGGACAAAATAAAAGGCAATTCATAGGTGCCACAAATGGAAAAACAAACAACTCCTAGCTACAGAAATACAAGGCCAGGATCCTACTAGCATAAAATAAAGTCTAAGAAGGTATATTCTTCAGGCACAGGGAAAATTATTCTAGATAATAATTCAGAAATATAGCAAGAAATGAAGAGTAGAAAGAAAAAAGTGATAAATAGTAACAAGACAGTGTGGTATTGGCAAAAGAACAGACAAATTGATCAATGGAATAGAATAGACCACCCAGAGATACACCCACATAAATATAGTCAACAGATCTTTGGCTTAAGAGAAAAGGCCATACATTGGCACAAAGACAAACTCTTCAACAAATGGTACTGAAATAACTGGACAGCCACATGCAAAAAATTAAATCTAGACTAACCTTACACCATTGACAAAAATTAACTTCAAATGGATCACAGACCTAAATATAAAATGCAAAACTGTAAAACTTAGAAGAAAACCTAGATAACTCTGGGTATGGAGACGACTTTTTAAATACCAGTATAATACTCAAGGAATGATCATAATAGAAATAATTGATAAGCTGGCCTTTATTAAAATTAAAAACTTTTGTGCAAAAGACAGTATTCAAGAGTACGAACAAGCCACAGACTGGAAGAAAATACTTTCAGAACACGTACCAGAGAAGGGACTGTTATCCAAAACATATTTTAAAAAAATCTTTGCCTGCACCGGCATAGCTCAGTGCTTGAGCACTGACCTATGAACCAGAAGTCATGACGGTTCACTTCCCAGTCAGGGCACATGCCCAGCGTGCAGGCTTGATCCCCAGTGGGGGATGTGCAAGAGGCAGCCAATCAATTATTCTCTCTCATCATTGATGTTTCTCTCTCTCTTTCTCTTCTTTCCTCTCTGAAATCAATAAAAATATATGTTTTAAAAAATCTTACAAGTCAAAAATAAGAAAACGACCTGATTTAAAAATGGACCAAAGATCTTAACAGACACCTCACTTAGGAAGATATATGGGTGGTAAGTATATAAAAAGATGCTCCACATATGTCATCAGGGAAAGGCAAATTAAAATGAGATACCAATAATACTCCTAATAGAATGGCCAGAATCTGAGCACTGACAACAGGAAATGACAACAAGAACTCTCATTCACTGAGGGTGGACACAAAAATAGTAGTCACTTTAGAAGATGTTTGGATGGTTTCTTACAAACTAAGTAGACTATTACCATATGATCCAGCAATAGTGCCTCTTGATATTTACCCAAAAGAGTTGAAAACTTATGTCCACGTAAAAATTTGCACAAGGATGTTTACAGCGGCCTTACATTCATACCTGCCAGAAGTTGAAAGGAACCAATGTCCTTAAGTAGATGAATGGATAAACTGCTACATCCAGACAATAGAATATGATTCAGCATTAAAAATAAATGAGCTATCAAGCCATGAAAAGATATGGAGGAAACTTAAATGCATATTAATTAACAAGTGAAAGAAGCCAATCTGAAAAGGCTATACTGTATGTTGTATAAGTCCAACTATATGGTATTCTAAAAAAGGCAGTAAAAAGAGATAGTAAAAAGATCCATAATTGCTGGGTATTAGTTGGGAGGGAATGGAGTTAGGGGGGAGTTAAGTGGAGTACAAAGGATTTTTAGGGTAGTGAAAATACTGTGTGATATTTTCATAATAAATGGATATCATTATACATTCTATGGATGTCAAAATCTATAGAATATACATACACCAAGACTGAACACCAACAGAAACTATGGACTCTGGGTCACTATGAGGTACAGAAAACCCTCAATTTTGCAGACCTCAATTTAACGGACTTCAGATTTAATGGATAAAATTTCTAGTCTGTATGTCCTATGTGAAAATGAACACCCTGTCAATTTTTAAATGCTTTTAACCGAGATTTGCTTATAACTAAATTAACAGGTTATTTTTTGTTATTAATTCACTGTTACTTTTAACAAATTTTAGTGAATAGGCCATATGTTGGGAAAAACACTGCAGTAATTTCACCAACATAAATAAGTATTGACAACTCTAGTCTACATATTTAAATCCAAGTGTCATCACTAGTAAACAATGTTCAGGTGAGTGATAAGCATGTGATCACACCGCACTGCACTCAGTAACTGGTCCTGCTGTTCCCTGGCGGGACTTTCTGCAGCAGTTTTATTAACACGTGTGGGCTGATGTTCCCACATGCACTAAGCCATACCCAGGCGTGTGCACTTGTTTACTCTCGGTGACTGGTGAATGCATTCATTTGCTAGACCTATTCAGTATAAAGTTAAACAGTAATACATATAGAAAACTCCTATATGTATTACAGTAATACATACAGAAAACTGTGAAATTAAACTTTTCATTCATAATTTTAACTACACGAACATATCTACATAAGTAAAAAACAGGTAAAGTAATTTGTTAATTTTTTAATATATGCATTCAGAAAACCTACTTTATTATATATCAGACTTTTGGCTTTAATGGACACCCCCCTCTCCCGAATTAGTCTGTTATACAGAGGTATTACTGTATCAATATAGGTTCGTCAATTGTAACAAATGTACCACTTTGGGGAATGTTGATAATGGGGAGGCTGTGCATGTGAGGGGACAGGGAGTATATGGAAAATCTCTGTACCTTCCTCTTAATTTTGCTGTGAACCTATAACTGCTAAAAAATAAAATAAAATCCTTTATTGAAAAGTGGTAAAGACATGAGCAAATGTGCAGGAACAGAAACCGAGGTTATGACATACACTGTTTATATACTCACAAATATATTAAGTACAAAGCATCCTAAGGTTCTCAAATGTCCACGAACAGGTAAAAGGTAAAGATGAATATTAGACTTTTGATAAGTCAAAAGTCCATGTTGCAATTTCTAGGCTAAACACTAAATAGAACTTCGAAACTATTATTCCACATGTTGTTGCTGCTGTTCTGTTTATTTTTATTCACTCTCTTTTCTGTTTCATTTCGGATAGTTTCTATCTTCAAACTCACTGGTTTTTCCTCCTGTAGTCTTTAATCTGCTATTAACCCAATGCAGTGTATTTAACCCAATGATAAATATATAGATAGCTTTTTAAAAATTTCTGAGTGTCTCTAGATATCTTATTTTGCTTCTCATTCTTATGTCTTTCTAAACATTCTTAAGCATCTAGACCAGCAGTCACTAACCGGTAGTCTGTGGACCACTGGTGGTCCGTGAGGTCCGAAAGGTTGGCATCCGCTGATCTAGACCACATCTAGAATAGCTATTTTAACGTCATTACCTGCACATCCATCGTCTTTATTATTTCTGGGTTCATGTGTGTTGGTGCATTTTTCTCCAGATTATGAATTATTTTTTATTGCATGCTATACATTGTGAAGTTTATGTTGTTAGGCACTGAATTTTGCTGTATATATTACATAATATTGTACATGTTGTTTACTTATCATGAAGTTAAGTTACCTGGGATCAGTTTTTCACGTTTCAGGCTTGTAAGAAGTTTAAAGCTTTAGTCTAAGGCTAATATATTCCCACTAGAGGCCTGGTGCATGAAATTCATGCACTGGTAGGGTTCTCAGGCCTAAGC